GGAAGAGGAGGAGGAAGGAGGAGGAAGAGAAGGAGAAGGAAGAGGAGGAGGAGGAAGAGGGAGGAAGGAGGGAGGAAGGAGGAGGAAGAGGAGAGGGGGGGGGGCGTTGACGGATCCTTGGTTATCGACTGAATAAACTTGAGGAATTTCACTGCGTTTGCAAAGTCACGGAGCGGCCAGGGCGGGCACAGACCTCGCGTGGTTATGGAACACTGTTCAGGGTATCCTGTTCTACTTATTACTTCACAAATAATATTTTTCTACATTAATTTACATTCAAAAGATACACAGCAACATCTGCTGCATTTCTTCCATCATGAAGTATTGGAAGAAAAATGTTCCTTTAATACACTCGATTTTATTCTATTCTACTTATTACTTCACAAATAATATTTTTCTTACATTTATTTACATTCAAAAGATATACAGCAACATCTGCTGCATTTCTTCCATCATGAAGTATTGGAAGAAAAATGTTCCTTTAATACACTATTTTATTCTTCTACTTATTACTTTAATATTTTTCTTACACATTCAAAAGATACATAACATCTGAATTTCTTCATCATGAAGTATTGGAAGAAAAACTTAATACACTCCTTCTACACCACAAATAATATTTTTCTTACATTAATTTACATTCAAAAGATACACAGCAACACCTGCTGCATTTTCCCCATCACGAAGTATTGGAAGAAAAAATCATTCCTTTAATACACTTTTTTAATTTTTCTACTTATGACCACAAATAATATTTTTTCCTACATTAATTTACATTGAAAATATTGGAAGAAAAATCATTCCTCTAATACACTCGATTTTAGGAGAAAAAAAAATGCCACAGGGATGACGTCACTAGACAGGTTGTGACAGTAATACTGGTCCTCTCGCCCTGCCGCGCCGGTGTCCAGTTACGCCTCCGTCTACTCCGCCCAGAGTTGCTCTCTCCTCCCGTGCTTATCCCTGTCGTGCATTCTCCTCCTTCGCGTCTCATTACACCATTACTCCCGTGCTTATCCCTGTCGTGCATTCTCCTCCTCCTTCGCGTCCCATTACACCATTACTCCCGTGCTTATCCCTGTCGTGCATTCTCCTCCTCCTTCGCGTCTCATTACACCATTACTCCCGTGCTTATCCCGTCGTGCATTCTCCTCCTCCTTCGCGTCTCATTACATTACTCCCGTGCTTATCCCTGTCGTGCATTCTCCTCCTCCTTCGCGTCTCATTACACCATTACTCCCGTGCTTATCCCTGTCGTGCATTCTCTCCTCCTTCGCGTCTCATTATTACTCCGTGCTTATCCCCGTCGTGCATTCTCCTCCTCCTTCGCGTCTCATTACACCATTACTCCCGTGCTTATCCCTGTCGTGCATTCTCCTCCTCCTTCGCGTCTCATTACACCATTACTCGTGCTTATCCCTGTCGTGCATTCTCCTCCTCCTTCGCGTCTCATTACACCATTACTCCCGTGCTTATCCCCGTCGTGCATTTCCTCCCTTCGCGTCTCATTCACCATTACTCCCGTGCTTATCCCTGTCGTGCATTCGCCTCCTCCTTCGCGTCTCATTACCCATTACTCCCTGCTTATCCTGTCGTGCATTCTCCTCCTTCGCGTCTCATTACCCATTACTCCCGTGCTTATCCCTGTCGTGCATTCTCCTCCTCCTTCGCGTCTCATTACACCATTACTCCCGTGCTTATCCCTGTCGTGCATTCTCCTCCTCCTTCGCGTCTCATTACACCATTACTCCCGTGCTTTCCTGTCGTGCATTCTCCTCCTCCTTCGCGTCTCATTACACCATTACTCCCCGTGCTTATCCCTGTCTGCATTCCTCCTCCTTCGCGTCTCATTACACCATTACTCCCGTGCTTATCCCTGTCGTGCATTCTCCTCCTCCTTCGCGTCTCATTACACCATTACTCCCGTGCTTATCCCTGTCGTGCATTCGCCTCCTCCTTCGCGTCTCATTACACCATTACTCCCGTGCTTATCCCTGTCGTGCATTCTCCTCCTCCTTCGCGCATTATCCCTGTCGTGCATTCTCCTCCTCCTTCGCGTCTCATTACACCATTACTCCCGTGCTTATCCCTGTCGTGCATTCGCCTCCTCCTTCGCGTCTCATTACCATTACTCCCGTGCTTATCCCGTCGTGCATTTCTCCTCCTTCGCGTCTCATTACACCATTACTGCTTATCCCGTCGTGCATTCTCCTCCTCCTTCGCGTCTCATTACACCATTACTCCCGTGCTTATCCCGTCGTGCATTCTCCTCCTCCTTCGCGTCTCATTACACCATTACTCCCGTGCTTATCCCCGTCGTGCTTTCTCCTCCTCCTTCGCGTCTCATTACACCATTACTCCCGTGCTTATCCCTGTCGTGCATTCGCCTCCTCCTTCGCGTCTCATTACCCCATTACACCTATTACCACAATCCAAGAAGACTCAAAATAACGGAGAGGAAGCGTGACTCAAGATCGACTCGCGAACCCCCGCCTCCCGC